TGTTAACATTTGACCAATCACAACCTGCATACAATCACACATTCACATATAACCAATCACAACGTACATACAATCACACACTCACATTTGACCAATCACAACATGCATACATTCACACATTAGCATTTGACCAATCAGAACTTGCATACAATCACATGTTTACATTTGACCAATCACAACATGCATACAATCACACATTAGCATTTGACCAATCAGAACTTGCATACAATCACACATTAGCATTTGACCAATCAGAACTTGCATACAATCACATGTTTACATTTGACCAATCAAAACTTGCATACAATCACACATTAGCATTTGACCAATCACAACTTGCATACAATCACATGTTTATATTTGACCAATCACAACTTGCATACAATTACACCATTAGCATTTGACCAATCTCAACTTGCATACAATCACATGTTTACATTTGACCAATCACAACCTGCATACAATCACACATTCACATATAACCAATCATAACGTACATACAATCACACACTCACATTTGACCAATCACAACATGCATACAATCACACATTAGCATTTGACCAATAAGAACTTGCATACAATCACATGTTTACATTTGACCAATCACAACATGCATACAATCACACATTAGCATTTGACCAATCACGCCCTGCATACAATCACACACTCACATTTGACCAATCACAGCATGCATACAATCACACACTCACATTTGACAAATCACAACTTGCATACAATTACACATTAGCATTTGATCAATCTCCACTTACATACAATCACATGTTTACATTTGACCAATCACAACCTGCATACAATCACACATTCACATATAACTAATCACAACGTACATACAATCGCACACTCACATTTGACCAATCACAACATGCATACAATCACACATTAGCATTTGACCAATCAGAACTTGCATACAATCACATGTTTACATTTGACCAATCACAACTTGCATACAATCACACTTTAGCATTTGACCTATCAGAACTTGCATACAATCACATGTTTACATTTGACCAATCACAACTTGCATACAATCACACTTTAGCATTTGACCTATCAGAACTTGCATGCAATTACATGTTTATATTTGACCAATCACAACTTGCATACAATCACATGTTTACATTTGACAAATCACAACTTGCATACAATTACACATTAGCATTTGATCAATCTCAACTTGCATACAATCACATGTTAACATTTGACCAATCACAACCTGCATACAATCACACATTCACATATAACAAATCACAACGTACATACAATCACACACTCACATTTGACCAATCACAACATGCATACAATCACACATTAGCATTTGATCAATCACAACTTGCATACAATCACATGTTTACATTTGACCAATCAAAACTTGCATACAATCACACATTAGCATTTGACCAATCACAACTTGCATACAATCACATGTTTACATTTGACCAATCACAACTTGCATACAATTACACATTACATTTGACCAATCTCAACTTGCATACAATCACATTTTTACATTTGACCAATCACAACCTGCATACAATCACA